CTTTCTTACTTGAATCTTGGTGTCCTTTCTGCATTTGTTTCAGATCTTTGAAGTAGTGCAGCAAAAAACAGCTCATATAAACAATTCCGAACACCCCTGAACTCATCCCTACTGGTGACAACTCTAAAATTATGGAATCCCCGTTTGTTTTAAGTCAAATGGAGAGGGTAAATCCACCTATCAGAGACACAACAATAAAAATGTATCAAGGGTTCTAATCCTTCCCTGCACCATGCAATACATTAAAAAAAAATACGGCTATACAGACTAAGTTTTAAATAAAACAATGGGCCACTACAACTGAATGTGTCTGAAAACACCTGACTATACCAGCAGGTGGATGAGATACTGCAGAGAAGCTTCCCAATACAAATCTCAGATGTGTACAGAGTTATAAAGCAAAACCTGTATATATAAACATTTAAAGGGAAACTGGTGTCTTCTAGCAAAAAACTTTCTATTTCTTAGTAAGTTGTTAAAACAACCTTTGCATAAGAGAAGCAAACATGTAACTGTAAACCACACTGCCAAGCAGATGCTTTAATCAGGGTTCAGTAGAGTCCCTAGCTAGGTTACCTATAAGCACTGTGCTCACTGGTGACTTAATTGGTTTTGCCATTAAGGTCCAAATGCCTAGGAGAACTGCAATAATAAGCATTAAAGAATATGCAGCCCAAATGGCTTTCCTTTAGGGCTAATTAAAGACTCATCAACCCCAAATAGCGAGGACAGACCGTTGCAGCAATTACCAGCAGGTTTTAGGAAACTGGCAAAATGTTTTCGTATTTCACTGCCCCTGCCAAAAAACAAGTATTTTCCCATCAATATTGCAAATGGAGGGAAAAAAAAACAACTTTCTTAAAAAATGCAAAAAAGGTGCTTTTTCTTTAGCTGTATCTCTGAAGTAGTTAAAGTGTTCTACATTTGCCCTAAAACCACAAACTAACCAAAATACTCAAAGGATAACAAGATTCATGCAAACTAAATGTCTTGATGGGTTCCCCCAGATTCTACCACATCCACTAATCATCGCCCCTAGAGGGGGCTCAAAATCTGAAATAAACTATTCTATTTTTGAGGTTGTACACCCACAATTCAGAGTCAGGTGCTAATGGTTTTGCACGCCTTTACACTTTTTCAGGGACTCCATATTTTTGTATTAAAGTCTCAAATCAGTAGTCAGGAATACTGTTAATTTTGTCACCGAAAATATTTTCATCATAGTTTTTGTCAGCTGCATATTTTCAGTGATGAAAACTAAACGAAAAAAAAAATTTGAATTAAGTCAATTGACTAAAATCAATTCCAATTTTCAGTTAGTCGACTAAAATCGCCAATATATTTTATTGGCGACTAAAATCTAATGGGTTTAGTTACATTGTAATGCATTATTTAAGCGTTTCTCTATCATTTCCAAACTCATATACTCATGGCGTAAAACTCTTAATAACATATTATTTATGATATTAACTAGTTGCCGACCGCAGATAGCCGAATGACAGCTGCACTGCGGCCGGCCAGTTCTGGGTGGACGTCATACGACGTCCCCCCAGAACGCGCTCTCCTGCGCGCCCCAGGAGGCGCGCACCCGGCGATCTCCGTGATCACTGTGTCCTACGGACACAGCTGATCACGTGATGTGGTAAAAGGCCAATCATACCGGCCTTTTACCACGTGATCAGCGGTGTCCAATGACACGCTGATCAAAGGGAAATGCAAGTGCCGGTTCTCGGCTGCACTTTCCTCACGCTGTCAGATCGTGAGGAAAGTACTGCCGAGAACCGGCAGTTGTCAGAGCGAGGATCGGCACCGATCATCAGGGCACTGATGATCAGTGCCCTGATGATCGGTGCCCAGCAGTGCCACCCACAAGTTCCGCCCACCTGTGTCCACTAGCTCCGCCCACCTGTGCCCAGCAGTGCCACCAACCTGTGCCCCGCCCACCAGTGCCGCCCAGCAGTGCTGCCAGTCAGTGCCGCCCAGCAGTGCTGCCAGTCAGTGCCGCCCAGCAGTGCTGCCAGTCAGTGCCGCCCAGCAGTGCTGCCAGTCAGTGCCGCCCGCCCAGCAGTGCTGCCAGTCAGTGCCGCCCAGCAGTGCTGCCAGTCAGTGCCGCCAGTCAGTGCCCAGCAGTGATGCCAGTCAGTGCCGCCTATCCGTGCCGCCTATCCGTGCCGCCTATCCGTGCCGCCTATCCGTGCCGCCTATCCGTGCCGCCTATCCGTGCCGCCTATCCGTGCCGCCTATCCGTGCCGCCTATCCGTGCCGCCTATCCGTGCCGCCTATCCGTGCCGCCTATCCGTGCCGCCTATCCGTGCCGCCTCATTAGTACTGCCCTATCAGTGCCCTTTAGTGCTGCCTATCAGTGCCGCCTATCAGTGCCCATCAGTGCTGCCTCATCAACGCACATCAGTGCTGCCTCATCAACGCACATCAGTGCTGCCTCATCAACGCACATCAGTGCTGCCTCATCAACGCACATCAGTGCTGCCTCATCAACGCACATCAGTGCTGCCTCATCAACGCACATCAGTGCTGCCTCATCAACGCACATCAGTGAAGGAGAAAAATTACCTGTTTGAAAAATTTTATAATAGAAACAAAGAAACTTTTTTTTTCAAATTTTTTGCACTTTTTTAATTTATAATGCAAAAAGTAAAGTACCCAGTGGCAATTAAATACCACCAAAAGAAAGCTCTATTTGTGAGAAAAAAATGATCAAAATTTCATATGGGTACAATGTTGCATGACCGCGCAATTGTCAATCAAATTGCGGCAGCGCTGAAAGCTGAAAATTGGCCTGGTAAATAAGGGGGTATAAGTGCCTGGTAGGCAAGTGGTTAAGGTTTGACCATGCACTACAGTCACAGATTTAGGCAGGCCATACACATGCAGATTTTCAGACGAGAATATTCGTAAGAAAAGTCGTACGAAAATTCTTTGAACATTTGATGAATAGACTAATGTTCAAAAATGGTCTTTTGCTTTTAACATTCGACTTTAAAATGAATGTAATTTCTGAACAATAACCACATACACTGGCCAAAAAATTTGTTTGATCGAGAAAGTTTTCCTTCCTGCCCCTTTGAATTTTCCCATCACTGCTCTTGAAAATGAACATCGATTTGACCCCACTAACGATTAAAAAAATCAAATGAATCTTCTTGAAACGAAAATTCTCTAATTAAAATCTAGCTTTACCGTTGTGATATACAACGTCTTTATACATAAAACCAAGTTTCATAAACAAAAATAAACAGAAAAGCACCCTTAAAAAAAAATCTAAAAAAAAACAAACTGTAACCTCTATTGGCTGTAATGCCAGGCTACAAGTGGGGATGGGGAAGTAAAAGGGAGTGAGGGAATGCACAGGGCAGAGAACTTGACGGTTTGGGGAGGCTGCTATTTTAGACAGTGCTAAGCACTGCTACCTTGCTGGGAGAGGAAACTCACCATATCACATCCAGACAGACACAAATCAGATGACGGAGTTTCTCTTCTGTGGTTTTGAGGGCATTGGTCCAGCAGGCAGACAGAGGGAGGCTGCGTTTCTCAGCCAATATAGCCTGCTGATAAGAGTACTAGAGATTTTAGTCAACTAAAATGTACTGGAGATTTTAGTCAACTAAAACAATTCCGATGACTAAAATATGACTAAAACTAAAATGGCATTTTAGTCTAAAGACTAGGACTAAAACTAAATGAAATTTGATGTCAAAAATGAACACTGGGGTGGAATCCTGTAGCAGGAAAGGAGTGTGGATAGGTGACTATACCTTGCTGGGATGGTAAGCAATTAGGAGATACTGTCACATTGACTTGACAAGGTGACAGTGTCTTCTTAAAGGATAGGTTCAGCTTTGGGGAAAAAAAATGGTAAATGCACAGGTTTTTTGCAGAAAAAAACGTGCATCTATTATTTTTCCCCCCAGGAGCCTGTAAAGCATTGCACCCACAATCAGTGGATCACTAATGGAAGGTCAGGCTCCAGCAGACACATCCTCCATCCTGGATGAAATGTCAATGAACTATGAGGGTCCTCACTTGACATGGTGGCAAACAGGACTTGCAGTTTCTTTAATCACAAATTGCTGTAAATTAAAGACATGGCTGTGCAAAGCAGCGCCGATTTTGAATGTGTCAGCAGGTGTGGGGGAAAGGAAAGGGGGGGGGGGGAATCAGGAGTGCAAGAGAAGATGCTGGAGCATGTTGCACCCTGAATATGGGTTTACCGTGTAACATGCTCCAGAAGTGAACATAGTCTTTAACCACTTGTCAACCGCGCTACAGCCGAAAGATGGCTAGAGCACAGTCGTCCAGTTCTGGAGCGGCATACATGGACTTCCTCCCAGAACCCCATACCCTGCACCCCACAATCACAGTGGCCCTTTACCATGTGATCAGCTGTGTCCAATCACAGCTGATCACATGTAAAACACAGACTTGCTGAATATTAGCAGCCCTTTCCTCACACGCTATGTCTGTGTGAGAAAAGGGAAGCCAATAACCAGTAAGGCTTCAGTACATTGTTTACACTGATAATCAGTGCAGCCTCATCAGTGCCAATTGGTGCTGATCAGTGCCCATCAGTGCCGTCTACGAGCGCTCATCAGTGCACATCAGTGAAAAAGAAAAATTACTTATTCGCAAAATTTTATAACACAAGCGGAGAAATTTTTTTTTTCCTTCAAAATTTTCAGTCTTTTTTCATTTGTTCAGCAAAAAATAAAAAACCAAGTGGTGATCAAATACCACCAAAAGAAAGTGCTATTTGTATCAAAAAATTATAAAAATTTCATATGGGTACAGCGCTGCATGACCACACAATTGTCATTCAAGGAGCGACCACACTGAAAGCTGAAAATTGGCCTGGGCAGGAAGGGGTGAAAGCGCCCAGTATTAAAGTGGTTAATAGGACATATTTATACACACACATGAATGTGCTTCAGTCACAATTCTCAACACTGGAGGGACCATAGCAAAGGCCTAGAAAAATAAATTACCTTTTTTCAGTGACAGGCCACCACTGCCACCCTCTGAATCACTGTCAGAGTCAAATAGGTCTTTGAATTCTTTTTTATCTTCCTCCTTTTTTTCCAACTTCTTCCTCTTTATTTCAGGGAAATTTAAATCTTCCATCTAGAGAGAAAAAAAAATACATATTTAGAGTTATAACTATTAAGGAAACAGTTACCAAAAGATGAAGTCCATACCAGACTTAAAGCGGTAGTAAACTGCATCCCAATTAAAAAAAGAAAAAGAAAAAACAAGTGCTGGCACAGCTCCCTGGGGCTTCCATCTTCACCCGGTCTTCCTTCCGGGTTCACGAGCTCTGGCCGGCTGACTGGCCGAGCAGCGATGACGTCACTCCTGCATGCATTTCAGAGCCCTGGGCCATTTGCACAGTGCTCTGAAGGAACGGCACGGGCATGCCGTTCCTTCAGAGCACATGCAAAAGGGCTAATATCGCCTAAACACTTCACGTTTAGGAGATATTATTTTTACCCACAGGTAAGCTTTATTATAAGCTTACCTATAGGTAAAATTATTAAAGAAGAGTTTACTACCACTTTAACTTGTTTATGTATAAAATGTAAAGTGCAGAAACCCATAACAACCAACCCAAATTGGAATAAACGGAGATAGACCACGAAAAGTACAATTTGGAATCCTGGCTGGTAAGGAGTATGGTACTTCACACTGCTTTCTATGTCTTTTTAAAGAGACCCTGATTCCAAAAGTAATTAAAGTAGCAGCCCCTTATAAGAAAAAAGGTAGTATACTCACCTCTCCTGTGGCCCTTGTGTCCTATTCCCCCCTCTATTCAGGCCCTGCAAGCCTTCAACTGTGTCTTCAGCATTTAAATCCTCCAGAAGTGTCAATGGCTGTGTCAGCTGGCACTTGTCAGTTCCATACTCAGACTCCATCACTATAGGGCTCAGCAGTGAGATACAACACCTGTTTTCTTACAGGGAGCTGCCATTGTATTTCTTTAGACCTAACAGGCTTGTATAAAACTATATTTCAAAGAAGCAAATAGGGATACATACAGTGGGGCAAAAAAGTATTTAGTCAGCCACCAATTGTGCAAGTTTTCCCATTTAAAAAGATGAGAGAGGCCTGTAATTGGCATCACAGGTAGACTTCAACTATGAGAGACAAAATGAGAAAAAAAATCCAGACAATCACATTGGCTGATTTGGTAAGAATTTATTTGCAAATTATGGTGGAAAATAAGTATTTGGTCACCTACAAACAAGCAAGATTTCTGGCTCTCACAGACCTGTACCTTCTTCTTTAAGAGGCTCCTCTGTCCTGCACTCATTACCTGTATCAATGACACCTGTTTGAGGTTGTGAACAGGTGTCTTTTATACTGATAACAAGTTCAAACAGTCACACTCCAAACTCCACTATGGTGAAGACTAAAGAGCTGTCAAAGGACACCAGAAACAAAATTGTAGATCTGTACCAGGCTGGGAAGACTGAATCTGCAATAGGCAAGCAGCTTGGTGTGAACAAATCAACTGTGGGAGCAATAATTAGAAAATGGAAGACATACAAGACCACTGATAATCTCCCTCGATCTGGGGCTCCACGCAAGATCTCACCCCGTGGGGTCAAAATGATCACAAGAACGGTGAGCAAAAATCCCAGGACCACACAGGGGGACCTAGTGAATGACCTGCAGAGAGCTGGGACCAACGTAACAAAGGCTACCATCAGTAACACACTACGCCACCAGGGACTCAGATCCTGCAGTGCCAGACGTGTCCCCCTGCTTAAGCCAGTACATGTCCGGGCCCGTCTGAAGTTTGCTAGAGAGCATTTGGATGATCCAGAAGAGAATGTCATATGGTCAGATGAAACCAAAATAGAACTGTTTGGTAGAAACACAACTCATCGTGCTTGGAGGAGAGAGAATGCTGAGTTGCATCCAAAGAACACCATACCTACTGTGAAGCATGGGGGTGGCAGCATCATGCTTTGGGGATGTTTCTCCGCAAAGGGACCAGGACGACTGATCCATGTACAGGACAGAATGAATGGGGCCATGTATCGTGAGATTTTGAGTGCAAACCTCCTTCCATCAGCAAGGGCATTGAAGATGAAACGTGGCTGTGTCTTCCAACATGACAATGATCCCAAACATACCGCCCGGGCAACGAAGAAGTGGCTTCGTAGGAAGCATTTCAAGGTCCTGGAGTGGCCTAGCCAGTCTCCAGATCTCAACCCCATTAAAAACCTTTGGAGGGAGTTGAAAGTCCGTGTTGCCCAGCAACAGCCCCAAAACACCACTGCTCTAGAGGAGATCTGCATGGAGGAATGGGCCAACATACCAGCAACAGTGTGTGCCAACCTTGTGAAGACTTACAAGAAACGTTTGACCTCTGTCATTGCCAACAAAGGATATATAACAAAGTATTGAGATGAACTTTTGATATTGACCAAATACTTATTTTCCACCATAATTTGCAAATAAATTCTTTCCAAATCAGCCAATGTGATTGTCTGGATTTTTTTTCTCATTTTGTCTCTCATAGTTGAGGTCTACCTATGATGCCAATTACAGGCCTCTCTCATCTTTTTAAGTGGGAGAACTTGCACAATTGGTGGCTGACTAAATACTTTTTTGCCCCACTGTACGTGGTATTCAGTACTAAAAATAAATACAATATTTATGTCAGCATGCTCACAGACAATAAATCGGAATTAATCTGCTCTAATAAGCTGGACACAGGAAGCTCTAAGCTGAACAAGTAAATAGTGAAGGAATCCTACTGGCTGTGCAAAGTGGCAAGGGTGCGTCAATCACAAGACATGTTGAACAGGATTACAAACATTTTGGCAGGTAAAAAAAAACATTCACACACATGCATTTCAACAGCATATAACCCATTTGACTGGAGTTGGGCTGTAAGGCAAAGTAGTAGGCTGAAAATTAAAACGGCAGACATGAAAATGATTTACAAAGATATAACCACAGATCCCATCCTGCTAGATGTTCCGAGTGCGGAAAGCTAGTTTTAGAATTAGATTATGTAATCTCTAAAACACAATGGGAGATTCATCAGTGGCGGCCCCCTCTCCCTTGTCAGATCGTTCCTACCCCTCGTTAATAACCAGACGATAATGAGATAACAGGAAGCTCACAAGAGACTCCCAAGCCAGCATCTTTTATTTCCTCTATTTTATTTTTTTCTATTATTGAAGTAGCTGAGCCCTCTGCTCGTTAATCTGCTGCTCCTAATGAAGGAGCTAACGACTGCTGCCACCCTTCCACAGCGGCATCATTAGAGGCTGTTAGAAGCTCCAGGAAAAATGCTTAGCGCTGTAATTATTAGCACTGATGAGAGCCGAAAGCTCTCACACACACTCACCTACGCACAGACGTGTACAGACACAGCAGACAGCCATCACATTTACCTACAGCAGCCTGACTTGCGCTTATGCAGACAGGCAGTCCTACAAGGAACGGATGAATTGCCCCCAATATAAGCAGGAGCTCGTGCTTTTCATTAACTCTGTGTTTTCATGGCTCACAACTTTGTAGCGCTTGCCGAGTGGTGACGTCACACTGACAGTGACGGGAAAGAAGTTGTGAACCCTTTTAAAATGTCAACAAGTCTCAAAGTAAAATGAGAAAAACAGCCAGAGCGTGTGACTCAACGTCTATGCCATGAAGGCGGTAAATAACTACATTAAAATGCTAATTTATTATCCTTACAAGGCATACATACTAAGCTGTCTTCTGATGTCATGAAATTCATCAACAAGTGCAGCCACCTCTATCTCACCAAATATATACCCACTTCAAGTGATGCAAAAGGAGCACATATCTAAGCACACAGAATGTTAATGTTTATGATAAATGCCCCTTAGTATTCACTGACACTCTGCAACCTCACAGGTCCTCATAGAAGTATTTTGAATGCAATAAAGTGTATAACTGGACAAATTTAAAGGTCCCATTCCCACTTTATGGCAGTTCAAGCAGTATTATTATTATTATTACACAGTATTTATATAGCGCCAACAGTTTGCTCAGCGCTGTACATTACAATGGGAGACAATACATGAGACAGTACAGTAAGAATACAGTAAAATACACGAGGGGTTCAAGGGCCCTGCTCCTTGGAGCTTACAATCTAGGAGGGAGGGGAGAGTGGTACAGGAGGAAATAGCTGTGGGGGATGGAGTGGTAGGAAGAGCAGAGGAGATCAGCAATTAGGTGAGGGCGGGGTAGGCTTCTCTAAAGAGGTGGGTTTTAAGGGTGCACCTAAAGGTGAGGAGGGTAGGTGGCAGTCTGATGAATTGGGGTAGTGAGTTCAAGAGGATGGGGGAAGCCCTGGAGAAGTCCTGGAGACGGGCATGGGAGGAGGAGACCAGGGAACTGGAGAGTAGGAGGTCTTGTGAGGAGCGGAGAGTGCGTTTTGGGTGGTAGATGGATATCAGGTCGGTGATGTAGTTCGGGGCGGTGTTACGAACAGCTTTGTATGTCAGTGTTAGTATTTTGAATTTAATGCGTTGGGCAATCGGAAGCCAGTGGAGGGATTGGCAGAGGGGGGTGGCGGATATGGAGCGGTTAGTAAGGTGGATTAGTCTGGCCGCAGAATTCAGGATAGACTGAAGCGGGGATAGCCTGTGGTGAGGTAGGCCAGTGAGGAGGGAGTTGCAGTAGTCAAGTTGTGATATGATAAGGGAGTGAATGAGTTGCTTTGTAGTTTCTGGAGTTAGGAACGTGCGTATTTGGAGATGTTGCGGAGGTGGAGTCTGCATGAATTTGTCAGTGATTGGACCTGGGGCTGGAAAGATAGATTGGAGTCTAGAATGACAGCTAGTACTCTGGCTATTTCATTACTTGCTATGAAAGCAATGCACATGTATTACAGAGATTAAAAGTAGTATTAAACCCAAAAGCAAAAATTTATAATAGTGCTTACCAATTCTTAGATGCGATGGCTTCCTTTTTTTTGGCTGTCTTTCCTTTATTTACATCTGGTGATCAAGTCAGTAAGTCTGTTGTTTTTCAAAAGAACAGGCTCTCCTACAAATGTAGCAGTTTACCACTGACACGGGTGCTTACAATGATCAGCTTTTATTCAGTTAAACGTATTAAAAAACAACTGTTGCCATTACTGCTTGTGTAACTGCAGAGTGAGTTTGACTAAATTTGTTTAGTGTAAATCAAATCTTCTAGTACACCCAACACTCCCCTCCACCCAGATTAGCAATGCTGCTTTGCATATGTGCCCCTTCATCCAGAGTAGAGGCATTCTAATACAGGAGGTATGTTACTGGCCAGATCACTAGGTGAAAACAAAACTAAAAACAAATAAAATAAATAAAACTAATGCAGCCACCACATCTAATGATTTGCAAGCTGCAATATGTCACATTTTTGGTTTTGGGCTTAATACCATTTTAATTAATTTTTAGGCCCCATTCACACTTGTAAATGGGTCAGTTAGTGATTAAATGCTGGAGACCCAGCAATTAGCTGTGAGTTGGAAGCCCCTGCTTGCATTAATTACTCCTGCAGTGAACACCTACAAATGACTGGCCCTGGATGTAGACATTCTGCGTCCGGGGCCAAACATTCACAAGTGATCTTTGCTTGGATTATTACATGAAGAACAGCTGTGAATAGCTGCAGGAGCTGTCAGCCTTGCATTGCTTTCAGTGGGGCTTCCTACCCACGACTAATCGCTGGGAACCCCCACTGAGTCTCCCACATCTAGTCTCTAATAGCCCCATGCACAAGTGTGAATGAGGCCGAAAAATTCAGTAAATGGAACACATACATATTTCTCTCATTAAAAAGTACTGAAAAACACTGGTTGAATTTTTAAAACTCCGGTGAGCTGTTAACTTCTTATTTGAGCTGACAAAGCTGTTTCTGCTGCACTGAAATCCCAAGCAATGTTATTAGCCCTGCTTTGTGCACTACAAAACACCATGTGCAAAAAAACCATGTGCAATGGAGATGGGAAGGTGTTCTGTAGTTCAGCAGGAGAAACAAGGGCAGGGCTGGGATTTTAGTACAGCAAAGACAATGTCCGCTCAAACAGGAAGTCAGGAATACACAAGAATTCTGGCAGATCAACAGGAATTTTTCTGTGCTTGCAGTTTTTAGAAGGATATATATATATATGATAAATGTGAGAATAGGATCTGAAATCCAGTGTTTAATTTTCCAGCTTGCCACAGGCTCCAAGTGTCACACTATAGGAGGTCAATAACCTCAGAAATGCATTCTTGTTTTTTATCATACAAGAATGGTACAATATTACCCAACACCAATGTTACAAATATCACTTTACAAGCAATAACTATTAGGCTCCATGCACACTAGCGTTTTTTCTTAAGCTCAAAAAAAGACAGGAAAAACGCTGGATAAAAACCGCTGGTAATAGTGGTTTTTAGTAGCATTTTAGTAATGTTCAGAAGCATTTAGGAGCATTAGTGTTTAATTAGGGGAAAAAAAAAAAAAAAAAAAAAGCTATTAGGAGCATTTAAGAGGTTTTTTTTGCTGGAAAAATGTTCCACAAAACTCTGCAAAAACATTTTTTTTCTGCTCCTAGACGCTGAAGCTCAAACATTGCTAAAAGACTAAAATAGTGTGCATAGATACATAGGATAACACCACTTAGTTTATAGGAGTAGAAAAAAAAAGGAGCTTACAAAAAAAGCTAGTGTGCATGGAGCCTTAAACAGGCAAAAAAAGAAAAAACATTAAACCAGAAGAGGATTAAAATTTACAGTTTCTATTGTCTTTTTCTCCCAAAGAGCATTTTGTTTTAGAATGTAAGGCAGCCCATACATTAGTCTTGTTTTTTCATTCATCCAGTTGAAGGAAAATAAAACTAACCCAATTCCTCCCCACTGTGCCTTTGTATTCTGACAGTGGGGAGACATCATCCTTGAGAAGACACTGATCAGCAATACAGGCTATAGCCTGCAACACCGACTGAGCAGGGAAAATCCAACAGGGCAGTTGTACAGAAGTTCCTTGATAGATCGATTCTGTACCACCAAAGTGCCCATACATGGATCGAAATCCAGCCAGTCCCCTACTGAACCAGTCAAATTTCAATCCAAGTATGGCTATCTTTAGCTTTGTGCTTTATAAGAATTGTGAGACTTAAAAAAGAAAAAAAAACCCACTATTGCATATACAGTTCTGTTCAAAATAATAGCAGTCAGACATCACTAACCTGATCAATCACTGTTTTTGGTAGAAATTATATTTCTACATGGCAAATAATTTACTAGCAGGTGTAGTAGAGTAATAGAAATCCAACAGACCCAACAGTCATGACATGCATGCTGCTGATTCTGTGTAATTGAATCACTAATTGAAAGGGGCATGTTCAAAATAATAGCAGTGTGGAGTTCTATTAGTGAGGTCATTCATTCTTTGAAAAACAGGTGGCAATTATTGCCCTTATTTAAGGAAGGAAGGCAGCAAATGTTGTACATGCTGGTTACAGTGCATTTCTCTCTGAAATTCTGAGGAAAATGGGTCGTTCCAGACATTGTTCAGAAGAACAGCGTACCTTGATTAAAAAGTTGATTGGAGAGGGGATAACATATAAAGAAGTGCAGAAAATGATGGGCTGCTCAGCTAAAATGATCGCAAATGCTTTAAAGTGGCAACCAAAACCTGAAAGACATGGAAGAAAGCGAAAAACTACCATTCGAATGGATAGAAGAATAGCCAAAATGGCAAGGACTCAGCCAACAATCAGCTCCAGGAAGATCAAAGAAGGTGTAAAGTTCCCTGTGAGTACTGTTACAATTAGAAGACGCCTATGTGAAGCCAAGCTATCTGCAAGAAGCCCCCGCAAAGTCCCACTGTTGAAAAAAAAAGACGTGCTGAAGAGGATACAATTTGCCAAAGAGCACATTGACTGGCCTAAAGAGAAACGGCGCAACATTTTGTGGACTGATGAAAGTAAGATTGTTCTTTTTGGGTCTAGTGGCCGGAGACAGTTTGTCAGACGACCCCCAAACACTGAATTCAAGCCACAGTACACTGTGAAGACAGTGAAGCATGGTTGCGCAAGCATCATGATATGGGGATGTTTCTCATACTACGGTGTTGGGCCTATTTATCGCATACCAGGGATCATGGATCAGTTTGAATACATCAGAATACTTGAAGAGGTCATGCTGCCTTATGCTGAAGAGGAAATGCCCTTGAAATGGGTGTTCCAACAAGACAACGACCCCAAACACACCAGTAAACGTGCAAGATCTTGGTTCCAGACCAACAAGATTGACGTTATGGAGTGGCCAGCCCAATCCCGGATCTTAATCCAATAGAAAACTTGTGGGGTGACCTCAAAAATGCAGTTTCTGAGGTAAAACCAAGAAATAGAGCAGAACTGTGGAATGTAGTCCAATCATCTTGGGCTGGAATACCTGTGCACATGTGCCAGAAGTTGGTTGACTCCATGCAACACAGATGTACAGCAGTTCTCAGAAACAGTGCTTATACAACTAAATATTCATTAAGTGATTCAAAGGAAAGCAAAATCTTCAAACATTTTTCAGTTTATATAGTGAATGTTTGAGTTTGTAAAGAAGAATACAAACACTGCTATTTTTTGGAACAGTCTAATATTCACTTTTCTTAAATTTTTTTTAGAGGAACAACACAAATTTGATATATTTTTCATCATGTTTTGATTTGGAATAGAATGTGTAGTGTTCCCAATGCATTTGTGTGTATGGAAATAAAAGCTATTAGAAGGATTTTGAGCTTTATTCATTTTATTTTGAACACAACTGTAATTCAAAAGAGCAGAGCTTTTCCAATTCAGCCTGTGCAATTTTTATTAACTGTCAGAGTGTGCTAATTGGTTTATGTTACCTTACATGACCGTTGTGGCAGCACTATACAGCCTCTTGCACACGGAACTCATGTCTGAGCATCAGCAATTCTGGACGTAATTTCAGGCATTTGTTTTGCACGTATTCACACGCGTTTATGCACGCACGATGCATTTCTAGGAAAAATCCTTAAATATTTATGCTTATTTGCCCTTATGTGCGCATTTGTACACAGGCACAAATTACTGACCAGAAACGCAATTTTATATATATATTTTTTTTTTTAACTCAAGAATATGCAACACTTGTTTACGTGCTTGTGATTTTAGACCAGTAGAACAAAAATGCTGTGCTAAGCATTTTCAAGCTGCAGTGTGCAAGAGGCCTAATGTAGGTTCCTTAACCGCCTCCCGCCCACCATATAAAGTAACGACGTTCTCCCACTCTAACTGTGCGTGCATGCCCCCGGGGGCGCGCAGTGCGGCGATTCCAGGTGCGCTGTGTCCCTTCGGACACAGCAGATCACCGATCAACGGAAAGAGACGAAGACGACGGCTCTGTCATGTGATCAGCTGTGTCCAATCACAGCTGTTCGCACGTAAAAAAAGGAAATGCTGGTTATCGGCATTTCTCTCCTCACGAGCTGTCACGCTAACAGCTCGCTAGGAGAGGAGAGCCGGTAATCGGCATTACTCAGAGGGGATATGTACACTGATCATCAGGGCACTGATGATCAGTGTAGCCCCAGCAGTGCCAACTGTCAGTGCCCATCAATGCCACCTGCCAGTGACCATCAATGCCACCTGCCAGTGACCATCAATGCAACATATCACTGCCTACCAGTGCACATCAATTCCACATCAGTGCCCATTGAGCTGCCCATCAGTGCCACCTATCAGTGGCCGTCAGTGCCGCCTGTCAGTGCCCGTCAGTGATGCCTGTCAATGCCCATCAGTGATGCCTGTCAATGCCCATCAGTGATGCCTGTCAATGCCCATCAGTGATGCCTGTCAATGCCCATCAATGCCGCCTATCAGTGCCCATCAGTGGAGAAAAATCACTTATTTACAAAATTTTATAACAGAAACTAAGAAAAAATTTTAAAAAAAAAAATTTTTTTTCAGCTGTTTTTGGTTTGTTTAGCAAAAAATAAAAAAAACAGAGGTGATTAAATATCACCAAAAGAAAGCTCTATCTGTCTCAAAAAAATGATAAAAATTTCATATGGGTACAATGTTGCATGACCATGCAAATGTCATTCAAAGTGTGACAGCGCTGAAAGCTGAAAATTGGCCTGGGCAGGAAGGGAGTATAAGTGCCCTGAAGGCAAGTGGTTAAAGAGGCTCTCGTCCTTACAAAAATAATACACCAGCAGTCGTTTTAAACATGGAGTATAACACAATTTGAAGGAAAGTGGAGTTTAAACCATCTAATTTTAAACTCCCAAGGGCATCATTCCAAAAACTTGTGCCAAGAAAAAAGGGACTAGAAATAAACTGGACTTTACATATGCCATTGGGAGTAAAGATAGCCAAAAACTTATTTCATAACAAACCTTCTTTAACCGCTTGCCGCCCTGCCACTGTGTATATACGTGTGCAGGGCGGCAGTGGAGCGCAAAACCACGTTTTAAAACGGGTTCCGCGTTCCCGACACTTTCGCCGGCAGGGGGCGCGCGCGCGCTCTCCCGCCGACCCGCGCGGGGGTGACACTATTTGATCCAGGAGGGATCAATCATTAGATTTCAGCCAGTTATTTCTGGCTGAAATCACATAATCGGTCCCTGTCCTATCCTGTCCTGTGTTGACATACACAGGGCAGGATATGATGTCATTCTTCTCTGCCTGGACACATTCCGTTCCAGACAGAGAAGAAGACATCCAAAAAGTGAGTACACAAGCACTACACTACAGTTAGAACACTCTAGGACACATTTAACCCCCTGATCGCCCCCCCCCCTCCAGTTAACCCTTCACTGCCCTGTCACCAGTGTTACTGATCAGTGAAGCGATTTTTACTGATCAGTGTCGCTGGCGACTTCCGATAGAGTTAGCGCCCCTCCCAGATAGCGCCAGATTGCCCGCCAGTACACCAGTAATCCCGTTTAACCCCTTGATCCCCCCCCCCCCTCCAGTTAACCCCTTCACTGCCCTGTCACCCAGTGTCACTGATCAGTGAACCAATTTTTACTGATCACTGTATCAGTGTCGCTGGCGACTTCCAATAGAGTTAGCGCACCTCCCAGATAGCGCCAGTTTGCCCGCCAGAACACCAGTAATCCCGTTTAACCCCTTGATCGCCCCCCCCCCCCAGTTAACCCCTGCACTGCCCTGTCACCAGTGTCACTGATCAGTGAACCAATTTTTACTGATCACTGTATCAGTGTCGCTGGCGACTTCCGATAGAGTTAGCGCCCCTCCCAGATAGCGCCAGATTGCCCGCCAGTACACCAGTAATCCCGTTTAACCCCTTGATCACCCCCCCCCCCCCCAGTTAACCCCTTCACTGCCCTGTCACCAGTGTCACTGATCAGTGAACCAATTTTTACTGATCACTGTATCAGTGTCGCTGGCGACTTCCGATAGTGTTAGCGCCCCTCCCAGATAGTGCCAGTTTGCCCGCTAGTGCACCAGAAATCCCATTTAACCCCTTGATCGCCCCCTCTCCCCCCCCCCCCCCCCCAGTTAACCCCTTCACTGCCCTGTCACCAGTGTCATTGATTACAGTGAACAGATTTTTACTGATCACTGTATTAGTGTCACTGGTGACTTCCGATAGTGTTAGCGCCCCTCCTAGATAGCGCCAGTTTGCCCGCTAATGCACAGGATTTTTTTTACCAAAAACATGTAGCAGAATATATTTTGGCTTAAATTTATGACTAACTTTGAGTTTACGATATATTTTTTATAGCTGAAAGTAGAAAATATTGTTTTTTTTCAAAATTTTTGTGGTTTTTTTTTGTTTCTAGCGCAAAAAATAAAAAGCGCACAGGTGATCAAATACCACCAAAAGAAAGCTCTATTTGTGTGAAAAAAAGGACGTAATTTTCGTTTGGGTGCAGCATTGCATGACCGCGCAATTGTCATTTGAGTTAGTGCAGCGCTGTATAGCAAAAAAGGCATAAATTACAGTATCTATACCATAGTTTGTAGACGCTATAACTTTCACACAAAGCAATCAATATACACTTATTGGGATTTTTTTTACCAAAAACATGGAGCAGAATACATTTTGGCTTAAATTTATGACTAACTTTGAGTTTACGATATATTTTTTTATAGCTGAAAGTAGAAAATATTGTTTTTTTTTCAAAATTTTCGTGGTTTTTTTTGTTTATAGCGCAAAAAATAAAAAGCGCACAGGTGATCAAATACCACCAAAAGAAAGCTCTATTTGTGTGAAAAAAAGGACGTAAATTTTGTTTGGGTACAGCATTGCATGACCGCGCAATTATCATTTGAATTAGTGCAGCGCCAAACAGCAAAAAAAGGCCTGGTCATTAAGGGGGGTAAATCCTCTGGGGCTCAAGTGGTTAAACTAAATCATTAAAAAGTCAACAAATGAATACAAAACCAATGGTATTCTATCATACATAATGGACACATTCATGTGGGAAGTTCTCAGTGGTCAAATTTATTTATTTATTTTTTTTTTTGTAGTCTATATCTCCGTGTAACTGTGGGTGGACAACCTTATTAAGATTGATAATATATATGTTTCTAATGAAGCGGTGTGACCCACCAAATGTGTAAACTGATTTATGCTACCTTCATTCTATGCATGAAGGTAAAAAAAAAAAAAACCTGTGTGCTGCAGCCCCCCTAATACTTACCTGAGCCCCATCTTGATCCAGAGATGTGAACGAGAGCCTCGGCTCTCCCTCATTGACTGAGACAGCAGCGCTATTGGCTCCTGCTACTGCCAATCACAGCCAGTGAGCCAAAGAGTAGAGAGCACGGACGAGGCAGAGCAGCACTCCATGTGTGAATGGACACACAGAGCAGCAGCTTGAGTGCGAGCCTGCTCGGGTACGCCCATAGCAAGCTGCTTGCTATGGCAGCACTAGGCAGGAGGGAAGGGCCTGCAGCATTAACGGGGGATCCGAGAAAAGGAGGATAGGGGCTGCTGTGTGCAAACCACTGCACAGGGCAGGTAACTATGACATTTTGTTTTTTGTTTTGTTTTTTTAAAACCAAAAAAAGAAAAATCAATCTATCTTTAACCACTAGCCTACAGGGCACTTATACCCCCTTCCTGCCCATGCCAATTTCCGCTGTCACACTTTGAATGACAATTGCGCGGTCATGCAACACTGTACCCATATGAAATTTTTATCATTTTTTTGTGACAGATAGAGCTTTATTTTGGTGTTATTTAACCACCTCTGGGTTTTTTATTTTTTCTTAAACCAAAAACCACTGAAAATTTTGGGGAAAGAAACGTTTTTTTCTTCGTTTTTGTTATAAAATTTTGTAAATAAGTGATTTTTTGCCGCCTTCACTGATGTGCGCTAATGAGGCTGCAGTGATGGGCACTGATGGGCATTGACAGGCATCACTGATTAGCACTGAAAGGCAGCACTGATAGGTGGCACTGACTGGCACTGATAGGCGGCACTGACGCGCACTGATTGGCAGAACTGATAGGTGGCACTGATTGGCATTGATAAGTGGCACTGACTAGCACTGATGGGTGACATTGAAAGGCAGCGCAGATGGGCACTGATATGTGCATTGATGTGCACTGTAGGCACTGATATGTGGCATTGATGTGCACTGGTAGGCACTGATATATGGCATTGATGTGCACTGGTAGGCACTGATATGTGGCATTGATGTGGCACTGGCACGAGGCACTGCTGGAGCTACACTGATCATCAGTGCTCATGTCCCCTCCGCGGAAAGCCAGTTACCGGCTCTCCTCTCCTCTCCAGCTGTCAGCGTGACAGCTCGAGAGGAGAGAAATGCCGACAACCGGCTACCTGTTTACATTGATCCTGTGATTGGACACGGAGCTGATCAGTGATCCGCTATTTCCATGATCAGTGATCCCGAGGCGCTCCCTGAGCCACGCATGCGCGGTGAGAATGGGAGGACGTCATATGACGTCCTCCCAGAACAAGAGAACCACCTTGCGTCCGTCATATTACTGTATCACTTTAGTATGTCAATTATGTACAAGAGAATACCAGTAGTCATTGACTGACATTTTATAAGATTTGAAATACAGAAGAGGTTTATTTATGAAATAAGTTTGTGACTATTTTGACTCCCAGTGGCATATTTAAAGTCCCATTTATTTCTAGTTCCTTTTTCTTTGGCATGGTTTTAAACATGCTGGTGGTATGTATACCTCTAACATGGGTGGTCCTTATTTAAACTGAGCTCTGCTTACTAGCTCAAAAGCTCAGTAAATACTAAACAATCTAGATGTAATTTGGGGTTACTTTAAAAGTGTACTATTCAGCATGTACTATTCTAGCAGCAGTACAAATTTTCAGAAAGTTCTTAAAGGCAAGACTCTATAGCCAAAATCTCTTCCATGGCTGATTCAGTTCACTGGCAGGTCTCCATGGCCAAAATCTACGCCATGGCTAATTCAGTCTACTGCCCTCCGCTATGAAAAAGCACCAACAAAGGTCTGTGAACAGTGCTACTTAAATGCCAGCAGGAAAAAACATGAATCCTGCAGGAAAGTGATCACGTAACTTTGAAACTGGATTTAACAGTAGAATGGATGGATTTATAGAAAACCCCATGGAGACCAATTCTACCTGTAAACTCAGTATTTGCATCATTGAGAACAAGTGTTGATAGGACTGCTTGTCCATAAAGCACTGCCATGCGTAAGTAACCAGATCCCACCAGGATAATTTTGACAAGCCATTGTGCAGAGCCGACGAGTCTACACCGCTAGGATCTTGATTTGGGGACAGCTGGGTGGAGGGCTGGGCACTGGAGGCTGCTGATGGAGAGAACTACAATATAAATGTAAGTGTAGCAAATGTGCAGTAAAACATTAATGCAAAACTCTAATTTTGTTATAAAAAAAATAAAATAGCTATATGCCTCCATAACGCTG